GTCCGACACGTACAGGTGTCATCCAGGATGTAAACATTATCCGTTACTCGTAACTTCCATTGATTACGGTTATGCATCACGTTTAGTTGCATACTTGTTGTTTACATTAATTAATGGTTTAACATGAAAACGATACATACTTATGATAAGAAATGGGAAATTCAAACGCAGATGCAATCGGATACTTTCTGAAAAAACGTTCTTTGCGTTACATACATAATCCGATTAATAATGAAGTTTCATGCTTGCATGCAGACATGTGTTACGAAGGAATAATACTCTGGATAGAAATTACAGCCATGTTATGGATAAAAGTCAGAATCGAGTAATAAGATATATTACATCTTGTAAACTTTGGGCACCAGAAATTAAAACGATACATTATATTTCAACAAACATACATTAACAATTTTGGTGCTTAAACGATTAGTATATTATAACAGCTGGACACGCAATATCGTTACTTTTATTACAGTTATAAATAATAATTCAAGGGCTCCCCAGCGAAACATTTACCTGCAATGACAAAAACATCACCCCTTGCCCTTCCTTCCTTTATCATCATAAAAGATCATTATAGCCAAAATTGACCCAAGTCATTGTGGCTGGCAATAATATAATCCGCTATAAGCGGCACAAAAGAATTGGATTTTACCCAGAGATCTTGCAATGTAATTCGTATAATTAACATTCTTCATGGAGATTTCATCCGTAATGTAGGGACGTTGGGTCGTGGTACTTGCAGGGGGCATTTTTTGGCGACGCTCGGCAAGGCCGGTATAATTAGCGTAGGATAGCATTAAAATGGCAAAAGGACGGCTGAGCTTACGGAAAAGCAATAACAATACATCCAGAATCGCTCTGCGGGCCGTCGCGTTTAAATTAAGACAAAAATCCAGAGCGCCGCCGCATAGGAACGAGGAGGAAGCCCATTAGCGGTAGCGCGAGACCGAAGTGCCCGTTCATTCATGAACTCGCCAGACATAGCATCGGCCTTACTACTACGGGCCGAGCCAAGCTACTTTGCGACTACTTCCACCACTACTACAGCTGACGCTATTACTACCGCTACTACTACTACTACCGTCATTATCGCATTACTGGATGCACGGATGCTCTGCATATACGGAGGGGTTCCCTTACATCACCACGCACGATCGGTTGTGTGTTGTTTCGTAATAACCTAACCGCTGCTTTATTTTCATCGAGAGCAGTACTTAATTGTGCGTTTGGAATAAACAGAGCAACTAAAAATCTGATATTACTACAAGGCTAAGTAGATACAAGGGACAGGTTGTATAGTAGTTGAAGGAATGAAGCTGTGCCAAATGACGTGCATCAAGAAAGAACCGAACCTGGTGTAGATACATTTTATAAGCATGAATCTAGTAAAAACTTTCTTAGTTTCGGTACATAATGCATTAGGAAAATATGGATACGAGATTCGGACGCGTTTGGTAACCGAGGTTGTTCATTAATTACGAAATGAGTGGAGATTTCATTTAGTAGGAAGTTCGTAAGTTTTCAGGTTTCTATGATCGGTACACTGCTTATGCGATGAACAGTGCGCATGTCAACCGTTGTTCAAAGTAAATAAAAATATCTTTTCATTGAATTTTCATGGTTTAACCCGTTTAGCCCTGTGTTTCTTCTCATTCATGAAAGTAAGTAATTTTGCAATGCGAATATGTAATTGAACTTAGATATAAAAATGAAATAAATTTATTGCGATAGGAGTACAAAAGTTCTTAGATATTTTACCCGTACTATTTATAACAAAGAAGTGTTAAATTACAGAAAAGTAGTAAATTGTGTTAAAGTAAAGCTTCATTTTATTATTAAGAAACAAGCCAAACGGGTTAACAAAGTATGTAAATATATAGGAAAATCTTCCAATTGATGAGAAATAAAAATGCATTCGCACATGGCGAGGTAATAATAGTTTTTCCTGTTTTCGCGGGTCCATTGCATAAGAATCATCGAAAGGACCTTGGCCTCGAGGGGTCGCCTCGACGCGTAAGTTCTTCCTGAATAGTTGGACGGATCGATTTCTAACAAGTTCAACGTTCAACGCTCGAGTACGCGCTACACGGGCGCGAAGGATCAACGATCTCGCCTCCCGACCTTGTCCGGATCGTTTTACATTCCCGGAACCGCCTCTTCGGTGGTCCACCTTCTATGTCGGCGGGAAGTCGAACGAAACGACCGTCCGACTTTCCCACCTCCTGGTCGACTAACTGCGGAGCTTTTCTCGATTCTTTCTCCAATGATCGTTCCAAATTCTAAGCCAAATTAATTTGACGGCTTAACCTGTACCTCGAACCTCTTTAAGCAACCCGCGAAGCGAAATGAAACGGCTGGCACTGGAATAAAGTCGGAACACTATCGGCGAGTTTTCTCCTATTCACCCTAATCTCCGATCACATGATTGTCGAGGGCTTTTTTCTATCTGACGGTACGAATGACGGTCCCTTTTGGAGGTGTAGGCGAGGTCAAGGTCACGTAGCCGATAACCCGCCTTGGGCGACCCTCGTGCGTGGAGTTGCGAGGGCTGGCGAAGGTCTTGAAAAATAGTTTAGGGGTGTCTCACCCCTGAGGCAGGCCCCGCTGGTTCCGCCAGAGCTCCGGCCGTAAACGCACGTCGGTGGCTGGGCGCGCACTGAAGTTTCATCGCGAATCCCGCCGTCCGACTGGATCCCACCACCGCCACCCCCGCCGACTACCCTTAACCCTCCACCTTCCACCCTCCACTCGAAACCGTCACTACCCCCGCTACTCTCGTCGCCCCGCTCCTACCCGACCCGCGCTTAGCCGCGGTCCACGCACACGTATCCCGATCAGGTACCTGCGTGCACTCGCGTGCTCGCGTGCGTCGCGCGTGCTCTCGCGTGCCGGCCACCCTTCTCACGGTAACGTGGCGAAACCCGCGACGTCGGTGGTGGCCTCGCGGTACGTCAAGCGCCAACGGGTTGAGCGAGATGTTGCGCTTACGATGACAACGCGTAAACCCTCTTTTAGGTAACGATTCGACCCGCTCAATAATTGGCATACGAAACCGTTAGAAACTTCGGCCTATGAATATGCACTTTCTGTACCTAAATAACTAAGGTCCTACGTCCGAAAAAAGTAGCTGTTTTCGGACAAGTAGTTTGTTTCCAATGTTTCAAGTTCATTGTCGTCAGCTGTATTAACTTCTGTGTCAGGAACGGGGTTACGTGAATACGTATCATTAGTCGAGCAATTCTGAAGAATTGTCAAATTATACACTAAATGCCTGGAACTGAATATAGTTATTGTATATACCTATGGCTTTCATATGGGTTAAGTTTAATAATCTTGAGATTATTCTGATACTATACTATAAATTTATTACAGAGACCTTAATACTAGCATCACTCACGGGTATAATTCATCATATCCATGTTCGTAATTTCTTGATGCGCGAAGTTCTATTCATCGGTCAGAACAATGTAACCACCGGCACATTACTTAACTGGAATTGTATTCTCATGTTAACGTAAAAATTTACGTACTGGGGGATCAAAACACCCCTCCATACCAGCTAAGGATTAACCTAAGCTTGCGAACCACGGGTATCGTTTACCAGTTGTATGCAATACTGCGCGGTGATCTTACCAGTACTCAGCCATTAGTACTGCCGTCAGAGTTCGCTTACTGGTACTGGGCTGATATTATCATTTGGACCCAGTGCCAGCACTGAGATACCGTAGAGAATCCGGTAAGGTCGATGGTTCAGTACTGGTCTGACTGTAGATTCCTATATGGACACAAATAATTTATACATCACGATAAGCTCGTCGAGACGCATGAATCGCCTCTTTCGCCAAACTGAAGTAACCGAAAATCACAAAAAAATGCAATAGGCATTCGGGGAACAATAGAGGGTCAAGGAATATACACGTCCGATATTCACGGATCTAAGCAATTAAATTTCAAATGATTTAATCGAATACAATATGTACTTTAAATCTATTTCTCCTTGTATTAAAGAACTTTCAATTCATAAGTATATTTAATAGGGAAATTGAATTTTACCAAGTAAGAGATTTAAAATTAAATACAGTTTTTGAAGTAATGGCTGATATGAACTTACTTTGTTTAGATCTTTAAATAGAATGAAAAGATAAACAAATGTTATATCAAAGCTAAGGAAATGAAGTTTATTTTTATTTGCAAAATACATATAAGTATACTACCTATATAGATAATCCAGTTTCTTTGTCAAAATGAATATCTAATTTATCTAAGTAAACTCTGACATTGAAAACAATTTTTTAGTTTACATGTTCTAAGATGTAATTTAATTTAAGCTTAAAAACATGAATTATGTTCGAAGGTTAATTTCATTCGCAGATGAAACATTTCATGTTTTATTTTATTTACTTATTGAATTAATCGGTGCTTTAATGAAACTTTGATTTTAATTTGCATTACAATGACTGTGCATTTCCTTCAAATTCGTTCGTAAGGTATATATAACGTTCATATAATTTTTTTGAACATTCACCATTTCATTTTTCTCCACTATAGCCAATTTGAAATATTCAAAATTATGTGGACAATTGATGGCATTAGCAGATTAAAATTGAGAGAAAATTAAACCCTTAATCCAATGAAATGTAAGTCGAATATAGTAAGAAATATAAATAAGAATGTTTAAACATAGAGTTCCATTTCAATGAGAATTCCATTGCCTATAAATTTGTAAAAGCCTATGTTTTACAGTGTTAAAGTAATACGCTTCAATATGTAATCATATTAGCAATAACGTTTTTAAAAAACACAATTAAATACAAGCAGTTTTACACATAAAACAAATTTGATTAAGTATACATTAAGAGCATTAATTTAATTATTCCAAATACTTTCCACTTTTCCATATCTAGAAAATAATTTTTATTTAACATCTTGGAAGCCAAGTTTCCCAAGTATAAAGGAATTCATGACGATGAGGACGAGGGTCAAGCAGAAAACAAACGTGCGATACAAGTCATCTGTACATATTCATTGGTTACACCTTTGTGAGTTTCTCGGCGCTTATAAAAGTGTTAAACAACATATAAATACATCGACGCCTATTTACAAAAGCATGAAAAATTTAATCTGACCTAATGACAGTCTTATGTGTTGCTCGCCTACTGGCTTAATCTGTATTGTAAATTTGTGCGCACTATCATTGCATACGACTGATTTTATCACTCAACAAAATCATGAAAAAAGACTCCTGAAATTCTGAAGAATCCATAATCATTGTTCTCATCGTTAGAAATTTTGATTATATAAATGTTTGTGAATTTTAAAAATACCACGATTTTTTCGTGATAAGGTCTAAAAAATCACGCACATTGTTCATTTCATAACTATATAAAATTGATCGAAAATGTGGACCCTTGTTTACATTAGTTGAATTACGTTAGGCCTAACACTTATATTACCTACAACATTTTACGCATTACGCTTGACTATAGAATTAGTTTATGTAAAGTGCACTTCAGATGTACATAAGAATACTGCTCTCATAAGGTTCCAGTGTGCAAGACATTCGAGTTCTTTAAAATGCTCGAATATTCAGTCATCGTTAACATATTGACCGGTTACTGTAGCAGTTTGATGGTACCTTCGTCTTCCAGCAAAGTCCTCATTGTCTTCATTAAGTTGCGCAGAACATGTTTCAACACCAGGATGAACCGGTGTAACAATAATTTGTTCGTAGTCATATATTCTTTTACTGTAATTAAAAGAACGATGTATAAAGAATGACCTGTAATTAAACCGTCTTACTGAAAATGCTCGAGTTAATTTAATTTTTCAGTTACCCCATTAATCTGAGTAAAGCATTTTTTAGCCACTCAAAGAACTTGAATTCTGCTGAGACACCTGGTTTTACAGCAGGATTTGCATGACCTATGTAACTCCATACGAGAAACACAACGATGATATTTGCAAGTGCATAGCCCCAGTGAACCAGAAACATAATAAGTAATTTAATCAAAGCCTATAAAATAATACATTTTTATTAATGATGTAATTTTTATATCAATTTTCAGCACGAAATAAGATGCCACTTACGCCAATTAAGGACAGCCAACGATTACAGAGAGGGCTATACCAATTTCCTAATTTATTGTGTATGTTCGGTTTTCGCACTGCAACTTCCTCGGTACTCCCATTATCTTCGACACTTGGCGATGAATCCGCATGTCCAGGACTGTCCGAAATGCTTGAATTTCTCTGTTGAAAATGAATTTCCTTTTGTATTATGCTGTGTTCATCCACTTAAGAATGAATCATTCTGACATTATAATTTACCATAAGATTTTTATGACCAATGCGTTCTGGAAAAAGGCTATCTAAATCATTGCCAATATCCATTACTGTTGTATCGGTTTTTATGGCTGAACCATAATTACGGTCAAATGTCGGTGTTTGAGAATGGAATCTTTGCTCTCTCGTATGTCGAATATCAAAAGTTTGCGCCAGCGCAAAATACGCGTAGTCCATACATGCGTATGTCAACAAAAAAGGCATTGTCACGATTGGTGCCAAAGTATTAATTTGTCCAGTGATTATAAATCCTAGTGTAACCACAGCAACTACTACCATGGCGTAAACTGGTACTTTATTGGGGCCCCGCTGTAATAATAAATTACAAAAGTAATTGACATTTATATAAAATTTATTAAAAAAATACGCAATTAAGTCATTTAGAAAGCAAAACATACACCTGTCTGTAAACAATTCATTCCAGGAATAACGTTCTGACCAGCAATGGATTGAAGAACTCTCGGTGTACCATACATAGCTCCCAAACAACTACTAAATGAGGAAACATACAGGCCAGCAAGTAATAACACTGAAAAGGCTGACACAGTTGATGCGATCATAAAGTTTGTCAGAAGCGCTGTCCTAGTACATGTTGCCGCAAGAAACAAGGAAAAGCATAGGTAGAGCAGAGTACTGCAAAAAGACATAGTTATAAGTTTAAGTAAAGTGCAATATATTGAGTATGTATTCATAACAAACATTCAGATATTTACCCAGTACCCAGTGCAGCTAAAGTGCCATTAGGAATATCAGTCGATGGATGTCGTAAGTCACCACTCATATTAATACCAGCAAGAACACCAGTAACTGTAGGAAAAAAGACGCCAAAAACTGTGAACCAGCCATAACCTGCTTCATAAGCAGGAAATGTGTTATTCTTTAAGTTTCCTAAAAACCACCCTTCAAATCCAGCTTCTGAAAATATATAAAATTAAATTCAATATTAAATATTGATAAATACATATATACGATTGAAATGACAGTACACATGTTGTGTTGAATTTTAAAATCGTACTAACCAATATTTTTGTGTGTAAAACTTCCAACCATAAAATCCAGTCCAGCGAACAAAAGTATCAGCAAAAGAATGAACTGCAACTTTATTACCCATTTAACACCAGCTATATTTATTGCTGACAAAAGTATGACTGCTGCACAAGCAAAACCGCGCTGAGCCCAAGTTGATTCCAAACCAACAAGTCCAGCCATTGATTCACCAAAACCCAATACATTTAAAGCACAACCTACAGCCTATAAGATTTGAGAAAAACTACATAAAGATGAATTTCAATAATTAAGTTAACAATTGCAATTTATCGTAAAATCTTACTTGACCAAAACAGTATAATAATCCGATAGATCCTCCAAATCTAGATCCAAGAACGTGAGACAACAAGAAATATACTCCGCCACTCTCTACGCGACACCTCTCACAAATTCCAACTGCAGATAGGACTGTTATTAATGCAATACACACTGAAAACAACACATTCATTTCAATACTCCTATTAAATACCCTGGTTATTAAATTAAAGTTTCATAAAAAATCACCAGTGCAGAAAATTATCATGACAGCATTTAATACTCCAGCTTGTCCTACTATCCATCCGGATCTCAAAAATACAATAACTCCAAATATATTAATTAAGCATGATGTAAACACTCCATCCCAAGTACCGAATAAAACAGGTTGCGATACAAAAAAATTTGATTTCCACCATGGATCAGAATTCTGCAATGAAATAATATGTCAACAGTATTCAGCAAAATGAATCATTTGAATCTACATCAAGAAACTCGGTACAGTTTCAACCCAAATACATTTGAGCGAGAATTGATTAGTTTATTACTTACATATTCTTGAGCAAATAACTCATTTGCTCCTGTTTGATAAATATCATGTCCCAAACTACTGTAATCTTCATCACTTCTCCTTCTGTTTTTTCGATGATCTGAATTACCTAACCCATAACGGGACCAGTCAACGTTTTGCTCATTTGAATGATTACCAATGTCTACATTTCCTTGACTTCTTTCCATTTTAGTTATTGCCGAGGAATTTCAACAACAAAAAATTAAACGGTACCAAACATATGGTATTGTAGACTTATTCGCAGCAACTGAATTATCAGAGTTTTTACAGCATAAGCACTGTTCCTAACTAGTTTGGTCTTAGACATCTCTTCAAACTTAATCAGATCAAATTACTTTAATCAAAATAAATTAAACTTTCTTTCCAAATACTCAATTCAAGTTTGATTATCATTGCACATCTGAGATAACTATATTATAGAGGCATTATAAAAGGTCTGGCTTAATTCAACCACTGTACATGTCATTAAATGTTTACAGTAAACACGCATTTACAGTAAACGCTCATCATTGAGGTTACATGCAGACCTCCAATTTTTTTACTTACTGTACAAATTGGACGACTAAAACAAAATACAAGTCTCATTTACAGAGATGAGTTGGGAGATTACTCATGGAAGGGATCGTGCGATCGCATCCTGTGCTGCCCTCTGGTTTCGTACGTTAGCTTTCACCGTTTTTTGCCCCCAAGGGCGGCGCAACGAATTTCTGATAGGAGCTTGCGCACTCGCGATTACGGTACCATCTACCAGTGACCATTGGCAGCTCACGTACTTGTGACGGTAATACCATGCGGCAGTTGACGGTGGTGGCTTACCTACGCTTACCGACACTGCTCGCTTTTGATGGTAAGGGAAGAACAATCGTGACGCTCCATATGACTTTATCTACTGATCTACTACTATTAAGTACATTGTTGCACGAAGTCGCCGTGATGCGGAGCTTTGGGGCACGCGTCGGTGTCGCGTACGGAACTCTCATAACAGCAAAACCGGGTGAGTGCGATCGCTCCTAGAAATCTTCGCGCGTCCCAACCAGCCAAGCGCCAAGTTACGGGTCGAGACGTTGAGTATGTGTGCGTTCGGCGCTACACTCGACGAGTATGTGTGAGAGTCGAATACTGCGAAAAATTCTCCCGAGGCTTACCTAACTGCGAATATAAGCCGAGTCATTTCGCGTATGATTTTTACATTTCGCTACTAGCGTCATCGAGTGTTTTCAAGCGTTTCTAGAGCGTTTTTGAACGTTTTCGAACGTTTTCGAGCGTTATCTAGCGTTGTCGAGCGTTTTTACACCGTTTTTCGACCGTTTCTGAACGTTTTCGAGCGTTTCTCGATCATTTTCAGAGCGGTTTCGAGCGTTTTCGAGCATTTTTAGACCGTTTTTGAGCGTTACCGAACGTTATTCAACCGTTGTCGAGTGTTTTTAGAGCGTTTTCGAGCGTTTTTCAAGGGTTTTCGAGCCTTATCTAAGGCCGTACAATGCCGTTGAGTGTTGTTAAGTGCAGTAAAGTGCCGGAGAGTGCCGGAGAGTTGCCGGAGAGTGCCGGAGAGTGCC